GGAGTCTCGCTCTGTTGCCGGGCTGGGGTGCAGTGTAGTGATCTTGGCTCACTGCAACCTCCGCCTCCCGGGTTCAAGCGATTCTCCTGCCTCGGCCTCCCGAGTAGCTGGGACAACAGGTGTGCACCACCACACCCAGCTAATTTTTGTATTTTTAGTAGAGACAGGGTTTCACCATGTTGGCCAGAGTGGTCTTGATCTCTTGTGATGAAGCGATCCACCTGCCTTGGCCTCCCAAAGTGCTGGGATTACAGGTGTGAGCCACTGCGCCTGGCCTGTAATTGTTTTTGAAAGCAGAAGAAAAACAAAAAAATTAACAAATGTAAAAAGGGAAAGGGCTTTAATAATTGCAACACACCCAAAGATAGCCACTGTTAAGAAAGAGAAAAGGAAAGTATAAATGTACTTTACATGGGTCTTTTCTATAATGGCATGATATTTATACATATTTTTCTATAAATTGCTTTCCTGCTAAATATATAGTGCATTTATTTAAGTCCTGATGCAGGGATCTAATTCAACCATTTCAGTGGCAATACAGTACCCACTGTACAGAAGTAGCATAATTTATTTGCTATTCGTAGTTTATTCATTCGTAATTTATAGTTCTCTACTGATAGACTTTCAGGTTATATTGGTTTTTTACTCATATGTAAAAAGTTGCAGTAAGCATCCATGTTTATATATCCTTGGTAATCGTCAAATTATTTCCTTAAGAAAATGACTAAAAATGAGATTGTTGGAATCAAAGCGTAAGTTCCTGTAAAATGTAGATGGCCAGGTAGAAAGGGCTTCCTGGTTTGCAGTTTGCAGCCCTTCTGGCAGTGAATGTAGGGGCCCATCTCCTCATACCTTCACTCATACTAGGCACTGGCAGTTTATACAACTCCTGTAATGAAAAGTTGTATTTCACTGTTTCGAATGCACATTTCTGAATTAGGAAGAGTATCTTTTTATATGTTTTATTACCTATTTGTAGATTGCTCAAGTCTTACACCTTTCTCTTTTGGGATACATGTTTTTTTAAAATTTTGTTTTGTTTTGTTTTGTTTTGTTTTGTTTGAGACAGAGTCTCGTTCTGTCGCCAGGCTGGAGTGCAGTGGTGTGATCTTGGCTCACTGCAACCTCCACCTCCCAGATTCAGGCGATTCTCCTGCCTCAGCCTCCCGAGTAGCTGGGACTACAGGCGCGCATCACCACGCCCAGTTAATTTTTTTTGTACTTTTAGTAGAGATGGGGTTTCACCATATTGGCCAGTATGGTCTCGATCTCTTGACCTCGTGATCCGCCCACTTCGGCCTCACAAATTGCTGAGATTACAGGTGTGAGCCACCGTGCTCAGCTGAAATTTCTTAATGTCTCTAAGCTTCTGTTTCCTTGTCTTTACTATGGAGATAAATTCAATCTTAGTATCCACCTCACAGAATTGTGAAGATTAAATGAGGTGATGGATGTATAGTGTTTAACACAGTGTCAGCAGATAAGAGGTGCTGTGATAGCTCTAGTTCTTATTATAGATTTCTGTTGTGATGAAGACAATAGATATGGTATTAAATAAGAAAGTAATTTTTTTCCTGTTTATTTGAAATGCTTCTTTTAAATCACATACATGTATCTTTGTGCTCCTTAGATCTTTATTTCTTTATGAGTTGCATACTATTGTTGAAAAGCAAGAAAATTATGTAAAAATACTGTACGACTTTATGTCCTATTTCAAAGCAGATGTATATTCAAGTTATTAAATTTTAAAATTTTTAACATTTTACTTCCTTGTGGTCTTAATTTATATATCATTTGGTTCAGTTATATGCAATTGTATGTTTTTCAAAAGATTCGTAAATCAGAGCTGTGCACACTGAAGCATCTGTATGGTGCCCTCACACATGGCATGGGAACACTGATATAGGCAGTGTGCCAGCCTCTGCCATGGCTAAAAGACGTGTTCCTGGAATCTGTATTTGGAAATATAATATGTTTTATTTAAAATTGTGGTTAGGTCCCCAGACGAGACAGAAAACTTTACTGAACTCCTGATACTGCTGAAGTAATACAGAACAGTTTCTCATATTTCATTTCCGTTTTATAAATTCAGTGGAAAAATGAATTTGGGGTTCTAAACACCTAATTGGCAAGTAGACTTTAGAAATCTAAGCCCCGCTTTAGATTAGAAATTTGTGATATTGGATGCCTGAGACACTTGCCACTTTAAGGTAATACCACTCATTATAATTGGTCATATAAAAAATAGACTAGACACTCACTAGTTTATTTTTACTTTTTCATTTTTTGAGACGAAGTCTTGCTCTGTCATCCAGGCTGGAGTGCAGTGGCATGATCTCGGCTCACTGCAACCTCCGCCTCCCAGGTTCAAGCGATTCTCCTGCCTCAATCTCCCAAGTAGCTGCGATTACAGGCAGCTGCCACCACGCCCGGCTAATTTTTGTATTTTTAGCAGAGATGGGGTTCACCATGTTGGGCAGGCTGGTCTCAAATTCCTGACCTCAGGTGATCTGCCCACCATGGCCTCCCAAAGTGCTGGGATTATAGGTGTGAGCTATTGTGCCCGGCCCTCACTACTTTATTTTTATAACTTCATTTCTTAAAACCTGTAGCTTTATTTTAAAAACATGATCACAATGTACTTTTATTTGCCTTCTTTTGGCAGTTTAGGTGTTTGGAGGCAAACCACAGGAGTCTCTTAACTGTGTGGAGTAGTAGTCCAAACGTTTATGGCAGAGGATAACGGGTTTTCAGCGTGCTGCCATCGTGGAATTGCTACTTTTAAGAATAGGGGCTGGGTGCGGTGGCTCACACCTGTAATCCCAGCACTTTGGGAGGCCTAGGCAGGTGGATCACTTGAGGTCAGGAGTTCAAGACCAGCCTGGCCAACATGGTGAAATGCTGTCTGTACTAAAAATACAAAAATTAGCCTTGCATGGTGGTGGGCACCTGTAATCCCAGCTACTCAGGAGGCTGAGGCAGGAGAATCACTTGAACCCAGGAGGCAGAGGTTGCAGTGAGCCAAGATCACACCACTGCACTCCAGCCTGGGCAACAGAGCGATACTCTGTCTCAAAATAAATAAATAAATAAAAATAATTGCATAGAATAGGAAGGGAAATGCTTTCTGAATGTGAAAAGGTAGATGCTGCTTTGAAACTTGCTACCCATTTTATTGGCACCTAAACGTCACTGTGATCAGTCTAGAGGGAAAGTCATAGTGTCCTTTTTTTCTGTAAAGTATGTCACAGCCATATATACCTATGAAATGTAAGAGGGATTTTAAGTTATTGCCCATTAGGAAGATAGTTGCTGACACGTGGTGCTTTTCCAAAAGCTCTACTCTTCTCGTTCTCTTACACCCACTTGACTGCTTTAATAGAAAATAGCTTTCGTGATATTTGAATCAATCCCAAAATGTGTCATTTTGCTCTCATGTGTGTGTGTATTTGTGGATTAATGCCCATTTCTTTTGTCTGATTACATCATTATACTGATAGGCAAAGATTACATGAGGAGTGGTTGCTAAGAGAGCAGAAGGCACAAGAAGAATTCAGAATAAAGAAGGAAAAGGAAGAGGCGGCTAAAAAACGGCAAGAAGAACAAGAGGTACGGTAGGAGTCACGTAACTAGTGAACAAACTGATCACTTCACCATAATAACTCTCATGAAGAGCTGCCTATCTTGGGAGGTTGAAGTGAGACGAGATCGCGCCATTGCACTCCAGCCTGGGCAACAAGAGCGAAACTCCATCTCAAAAAGAAAAAACAAAGAGTTGCCTATCTGGAACTTTAAAAAAAGCAAAACTGATCTTATTCAGTATGCCAGTGTTTTAAAAGTTTTTCATCTATGTGTCCTGTATGTGAAATGTTTTGAAAAAGTGTCTGAAACAAAGTTACTTTTTCTTCCCCTTTAAAGAGAAAGTTAAAGGAACAATGGGAAGAACAGCAGAGAAAAGAGAGAGAAGAGGAGGAGCAGAAACGACAGGAGAAGAAAGAAAAAGAGGTGATTCCTGTCCTGGGATGTGCTGTGTGATGAGTTTGAAGAATAAGCAGTAGGCATGTCAGCGTTTGGGTTTTTTTTTTCTTTTTTCTTGTCACTTCACTTGTTTGTTTGGAAAGAATCATATTTCAGTCTAGACATACACCAGAGTTCCCTTCTGACCCTCTTATTTGGGTCCGTGCAGTGGCAGATTCCCTAAAGTTTTCTTCAGCTTTACCCTATTTACCCTTTATAGTGGGCATTGGCAAATGTTTTAAAGGGCCAGATGGTAAATATTTTAGGCTTTATGGTTTGGTCTCTGTGGCAAACATCCAACTCTGCCAATGTACCCTGAATGTAGCCATCAGTAATATGTAGATGAGTGGGTATGTCTGTGTTCCGGGAAAGCTTTATTTACGAAACAGGCAGCTGGCGCTTGCTTTATAGCAACTTGTGTTTTTCTGAGGTTCTGCTGTATGTGAGTTGACTTCTTTAGAGAATAATATTTTGTTTTGTTTCCACATTTATTTAGGTCATAAGAGAACTTTTTACGACATGTCAGCAAGAATTAGAGGATTTAAAGAAATCAGGAACTCAAATATTGAGGAACTAGGAAATAGTTTTTGTTATTTGTATTAAATCTTGACTTCCTCTTCCACTTAGGCTATGAAGACAATTGTAGCTAATACACAGTTGCTTATTTAAAAAAAAAAAAAAAATCGGCCAGGTGCGGTGGCTCACACCTGTAATCCCAGCACTTTGGGAGGCCAAGGC